TCAAAATATCTAATGCGCATAAAGGAGAAAATTCACGTTACTGTAATATTGATGAAAGGTTTTTATACATAACCCATGAACAGAGGGAGGTTAATATACATGATAAAAGAATCAATTCTGTTGGACAGCTCATGCAAGAGCTATGTGAAGAAAGAGAAAAAAAATCTTGCTAAAAGACAAAACAAAATATTCTCTCCAATCTATTTGATATATTCCGAATAACTAATTATATTATGATAATAGCCCCCCACAAGCAGAACTGTGAACATCATAAAGGCCCAACTTGGAGACAAAAGAATTAAAGGAAGTAGCATGAAGTGGCTTGGTAAAAGCATCTGCAAGTTGAGATGAAGAAGGAACAGGCAAGAGATGAAGGAGCCTGGATTGAATTTTCTCACGAATAACATGACAATCAATCTCTATGTGCTTTGTCCTTTCATGAAATGTTGGATTATGAGCAAGATAAATGGCTGACTTATTATCACAGAAAACTGAAGTAGGAAAATTCAGAGAAGTTTTGAGATCATTGAACAAATAATGCAACCATTGTAATTCACATGTGAGACTTGCAAGAGCTCGGTATTCGGCTTCAGAAGATGATCTAGAGATAGTGGACTGCTTTTTAGATCGCCAAGAAATCAGAGAGGAACCAAGAAACACACAAAATCCAGTAATTGACTTGCGAGAAATGGAGCAGCTGGCCCAATCAGAATCTGCAAATGCAGACAATTTAAGAGATGCTGAAGAAGAATAAAAGAGACCACGACCATGGGAGCCTTTAAGATATCGAAGAATTCTAGTGGCTGCTTGATAATGAATGTCCAGAGGCTTGGAAACAAATTGGCTTAACTGTTGGACAACATATGAGATATCGGGCCTAGTTGTTGTGAGATACAATAAGCGACCAATAAGACGTCTGTAAGCTGTCTCATCATTGTATGGTGAACCATGATCACTGTGTAGCTTTAGAGAAGGATTAAAAGGGGTAGAAGAAGGCTTAGCAGCAAGAAAACCAACATCTTCCAAAATTTCCAAAGTGTATTTTCTTTGATTCAAAAGAATTCCTTTATTAGAACGGGCAATCTCAAGCCCTAAGAAGTATCGAAGATTGCCAAGATCTTTGATTTTGAAACACTTGTGTAATTGAGCCTTTATAAAATCAATCTCAGGCTTGTCATTACCTGCCAAAATAATGTCATCTACATACACAAGGAGAGCAGTGAAATGAGATGAAGATGACTTAATAAATAATGAATGATCAGCAGTAGATGGAGAATAACCCATGGAAATGAGAGCTGAAGACAACTTGGAATACCATTGTCGACTAGCTTGTTTAAGTCCATAGATGGACTTATGAAGCTTGCAAACTTTAGGAGCAGTATTAGAGGAAGATGGAACTGAGAGACCAGGGGGAAGAGTCATATAAACTTCCTCATGCAAGTCACCATGCAAGAATGCATTGTTGACATCAAGTTGCTCTAGGAACCAGCCTTTGATTGCTGTCAAAGCTAACAAAACTCGAACAGTGGTAAGCTTGGCAACAGGAGAGTAAGTATCAAGGTAATCCAAGCCCTCAGTTTGACTATAGCCTTTAGCCACTAACCGGGCTTTGTACCTCTCTATGGATCCATCAGAAAGGTACTTGATTTTGTAAACCCATTTGCAGCCAATGGGTCTTTTCCCTGATGGTAAGTCAACAATGGACCAAGTTTGATTCATGTCAAGAGCTGCAAGTTCAGTTTTCATAGCCATAATCCAACAATCATATTTAGAAGCCTGGGTGTAAGTGTGTGGTTCAAAATTGGTGGAAACAGAAAGACAAAACTGTTTGTATGAAGGAGAACAAAAATCATATGTAAGTGTAGAGGAAATAGAATGAGGGGTGGAAATACCTGAAAATGAATTGATACGACCAGTAGGAGCTAGGAGACTGCAGTGATAATCCTTGAGATAGGATGGAGGTTGTCTCATTCTGGTAGAATGTCTTGAAGGTGCAGGAGCAGGGGAAAGAGGTTGGTGGGGTTGTTCTGGGGGAATAGATGTAGATGAAGTAGGAGAAGGTGGGACATGATTGTCTAAATCATAGGGAGAAGAAATGGGTGTCTGAATGGTAATTGGAGTGGGAGAGGGCTGAGTAAGAGAGGTCTGTGAAGGTGTATGGAAAGGGAATGTGAATTCATGAAAGAACACATTTCGAGACATGAAGAATTCATGGGAATGAAGATCATAAAGAAGATACCCCTTGACACCTTCTTTATATCCTAACAAAACAGATTTCTTGGCTCGGGGTTGAAACTTGGTTCTGTGAGCTTGCAAAGTTGAAGCATATGCAAGGCATCCAAATGATCGTAAATGAACTAGGATTGGTGGTCGTTGATGAAGGGCCTGATATGGGGTTTTATTATCAAGAAGGGGACTTGGGATTCTGTTAATGAGATGGACAGCATGCTGAATGGCAAAGTTCCAAAAGTTTTTAGGCAACGAAGCTTGAAAATAGAGAGCTCTAGCAGTGTTCAATATGTGTTGGTGTTTTCTTTCAACCACCCCGTTTTGTTGGGGAGTTTCAACACAAGATCCCTGATGAATAATGCCTTTTGAAAGAAACAAATCATGCATAAGGAACTCACTGCCATTATCTGTTCTGAGACATTTTAATTTAGTTTGAAATTGGGTTTCAATGTAGGAAATGAAATTGGTGAGATGCTGTCTTGTTTCAGATTTGGACTTCATCATTACAATCCAAGTAAAACGGCTAAAGTCATCAACCAAGGTTAAGAAATATTTGTGGCCAAAAACAGATGGGATAGAATAAGGACCCCAAATATCAGCATGCAATAATTCAATCACAGAAGCAGATTTTGTATTACTAATGAAATGTGGTAATCTTTTTTGTTTAGCAAAGTGACAAATGTCACATGGAACATCATGATGTTGGTATGAGACAATGGGAAATTGAGAAGCTATAATCCTATGTGTAGAATTTGATAAATGGCCTAATCTATGATGCCATAGAACGGAATCAGAAGAATCTTTGGAAATAGTATTGCCAACAAAAGGCTGGGTGAGTTGGGATCTTGTAGCGGAGTCTCTGATTATCACATACAGTCCATGCTGATACTTAGCTGTACCAATCATCTTCTTGGTAGAATTCTGCAAGATTAAACAATGATCAATATGAAGTTCTAAATGACATTGGTGAGAATTAATCAGCTGAGAAACAGAAATTAAATTGACACAAAAGGAAGGAACAAACAAAACATCATGCAGAATCAAATCATCTAAAACCTGGACACTCCTGAAACAGAGGTAGTAGCATGAAAACCAGTGGGCAAGGTAATTGAGACAGGGGGAATAGAGTGATGAGAAATAAATTGATTCATGCTATATGTAATGTGATTGGTGGCACCTGTGTCAAGAATCCAGGTGTTGGAATTCTTACCGGATGAGGCATTGGAATTGAAATTCATTGCTAAGGGGGATGAAACAACGGAGTTGGCTGAATGGGATGATGGTGTTGGGATGGTTTTAGATTGTTGTAAAAGGCTCAACAATTCTTGACATTGCTCTTGAGTGAATCCAAAATTGGGATTGTTAGACTCGGGAACCATACTAGAGGGAGATGTTGTTTCAACAGCATTAACAGTAAAGTTTGCACTCGTGCCCCCTTTTGATTGATAACCAGGTGGAAATCCATGTTTGAAGTAACATGTATCCACTGTGTGATTGTTCCTTCCACAATGTGTGCAAATTTTAATGGACCCGTGTGTACGACCTCCTCTACCTCGACCTCTACCATGAGAGTAGCCTCCTCGCCGAAAGCCAAATTGTTGCTGCTGTGGAGATTGATGTTGTTGTGTGGTGGGGGTTTGAGGGAGGGAACCAAAGCTTGTTGCTGCTAGTACCTTGGTATCATCATGGATTGCAGATTGGTTAAGGTGTCTTTCTTGTTGTCCTACCAATGAGAATGTTTTGCTTAGTGAAGGGAGAGGGTCCATGAGCATAATTTGGGATCGGACATGTGTATATTGATCATTCAAGCCTCTCAAAAATCGTATCACAGCATCTTGTTCTCTGTATTTGTATGAAGAATCTACTGCTCCGCAACTACATGCTATAGAGCATTTACATCTAGAGAGAGGTCTAAGGTTATCAATTTCATCCCACATTTCTTTAAGCTGGGTGAAATATTCAGTTACGTCAAGGCTTCCTTGATGAAACTTGTACAGATCTTCCTGTAATTGTGCAACTCGAAAAACGTCTCCTTGTGAAAATCTTGCCTTCAAATCTTGCCAAATATCTGATGCAGTATCAAACCAAAGAATGGATTTCACAATCTTTTCAGAAATTGAATGCTGAAGCCAGGAGATGACCATGGTATTACATCTGCCCCATGGTTCAAATAAAATGCTTGATGAATGTGGAGGAGTAAGAGTCCCATCAATAAACTTCACCTTATGCTTAGACATCAAAGCCATTCTCATTGCTCTGGCCCTTGTGTGGTAGTTCTTACCATCAAGGAGTGGAGTCACGAGCACCAGGGAAGGAGTTTCATTTGGATGGAGATAGTATGGGTTATAGGGATTGGTAGTAAAATCTGCATAGCTCTGGTCTTCCATGGTTAAAGAAGAAAGAAAAGAAATAAAGAAAGATCTGAATGATAACAAAGAAAATTTAGGGAATGGAAACCAGAGTTATGCAATGCATAGCTCTGATACCACACAACATAGCTTGTAAAAGGCCAAAAGCTTCTGTTTGCTTCAAAATATCTAATGCGCATAAAGGAGAAAATTCACGTTACTGTAATATTGATGAAAGGTTTTTATACATAACCCATGAACAGAGGGAGGTTAATATACATGATAAAAGAATCAATTCTGTTGGACAGCTCATGCAAGAGCTATGTGAAGAAAGAGAAAAAAAATCTTGCTAAAAGACAAAACAAAATATTCTCTCCAATCTATTTGATATATTCCGAATAACTAATTATATTATGATAATAGCTTCCCCCTCCTGGACATCCAAAAGTGACGGAATCGGGAATCCAACCAGTTTTTGCTAGTATAAAAGAACCTGCTTCGTTCCTAATGCAGCAGCCAAAACCTGTTTTGCGTTCTTCCTTAAAAAGGCTTCATCAGTATGTACAAAGAAATCTTAATTTCTAATTAGTTGATGTCTGAATGATCTAATATGTCTGTACTTGTACAGGCTGGGACCTACATCAAGGAATTTGTTCATGGAGACCTTGGACGCACCCATCCTAGGTATGACAAACGAGACTTTCAATTTATGGGATCGATAAAATAAAATAAAAATGTATATTCCCTCCATCGATATTGCCTTGAACACGTTGCCAATACACATTAGCAAGTGCCTTATTTACTACTTTGGTTTTGCAGCATTGGATCAATTTTGGGTTGCAGAGCTGAAATTTTGCAGCTTGATGTCACAGACATCAAAATGGAATGTTTCCTGACCTAATCCGGTTTTAATCTTGATTGCTCGACTTTGGAATCTTCAACTGGAGCCTCTTTCTTCTAGTAGCAAAAGATTTCCTAGAACTCTTATTTCGGTCTCCTTACGTTAGTGCTCTTGAGCAATGCTGAAGTAATTATAGCTTTATGATCGATGTTTAGGGTCTATTTAGTTTGGATTTTCAGAAAAATAATAATTTATGTTTAGGTTAAAAGAGTTGATTTTATTTTGATGGAAAAGTATAATTATTTTGAAGTATAAATTTTTACAAGTTTTATGGGTTTCACAATAAGAATTTATTTTACTTGCGGAAAGAATCTACATTTTTACTTCACTCTTAATTATTGTGCGAGTTTTTTTTTCTTGGCTTATGAATATCAACGGGATTGTGTGAATTTAGTGGTTTCAGCTTGCAAATAATCTTCCCATTTGGCAAAAGTATTATTCAGCTGTATGAATTTAAACCAAACAACTGAACTAATAATTCATGATTTACGTTCAAAATTAAATATGGAATTTACTCGAACGCCATACATAAGTTCAATAAAAAAAATTATTGGCAACTATAATTAGAAACTAAGTAAATATAATTGTTATGCGTATTCTTTATTGTAACATTCCGTATCAATTATAATACTGTGCAAGTATAATGTAATTGAAATAGTAAAATGTCATTTTATATACAAAGTTAACCTCTTGAATTGGTCGATAAACTACTCACTCGACGAGTCGAGTCGCGACTGCAACTATTAGACACATGGACTTAGCTGACAGCATATTTAAAGGCTTGAAAGGATATAGCCCAATAGCAAATACAAGATCAATACTATAACACCACAAGCAAAGGTTTCAAATGAATAGTGACCATGTTCAATTGGGAAAAGGCATAAGGCATCCTTTTATGCCGTTCTTGAATGTTCAAGGGAAGCTAGCTCAATTCGAATAAAACTAAGGACGAGCATATACAATTCCATTTCGCAACACAGTAAGAGTGGCAACCAAATAAACACGATTTAACATCAAGTGAATGGTGTGCAAGCTTTCTATGGCACTACGAACCCTTTCTTTTCATGGGTAAAAAAGGAGAAACTGTCAGAAAAAGCATTCTGTTGAGTAGGCTCTATTCAATCCAATGGGCTTCCAACATTTCGGCCATGAAACTGTACCGGTCAGCAGCCTCATCTATCTGCGGTTAACAACTATTTTAACTTAAAAACGACACTACAACAATGGGGAAAAGGATAAAAATAAAACTAGTTCCTAATCTATTACCAATTTCTTTGTTGGACGCCCAGCTCCATGCCCAGCCTTGCATTCAATGCGACCAATTATAGGCTTCGTCTGGGGACTTTTATCAAGGCTAGTAACGAGGACATACTGCATCGTCTGAAAAATAATTTGAAATACATGTTAAAAGTGTGCAGTAAATCGTGATTTGATAACTTAAGTAGCTTGTAACAACTTATTTTGCAGTTTGCAAAATAACCCAATAACTAACCGCCAATAGCTTTAATGAATGCAATGGCACAACACGATCGTCATGATCAGCTGTCAACAGCATCGTTGATGGGTACTGGATTGACTGATTAGGATGCTGTTCCCAAGGTCTTCGGACGTTATGCAACGGTGAGTACCTAAAACAATATATTAAAGAAAATCATACTACATCATATCAATACTTTATCCAACCTACATGGAAAAATACAGTTCCAAAGTACAGTGAGAATGAGAATTCTCAACTATAAACCTGGAAGGTGCATAAGCACAAACAACCAAATCCCTCTTTTGTACCTAAATAAAGAGGAATCTAGGAATCTATCCATAGTCCGTGTCTTCCCACTATATTTCAACTAAAAACTTCCTGCCAAATTATCGATCCATTTTAACTGTCCAAAACCTGCTCGTTCCATCATTAGCAGTATTTCCGGCAGCATCATTACTTACGAGCTATTTTATACCATATCATCACAAAAATAAATAAAATACTAGCAGAAATTAAATACTTGCATTTATAAAATATCAAATTCATCCTTAATATTTCATGATAGGTTTAACCATACTTGATTAGCCAATGAAATTCTTCCTCCTTGTCTGAACAACCAAATTCTGATGTCCAAGCATGACCTGAATAACAAAAGTAAATCAATATGTGATACTCTGTAACCAAATAACAATTTAGTAAAGAAAAAAGATCAAGACAAACCTATGGTAAATTTGTGGAACTGTAGCATGTCCATAACACCAACATGAGCCAGTGCACAACCAAAAAGATCAGGTCTCTGTTCAAAAATTTGGGGAATCTGAATTAAAAGGAACATTACAAAGAACCTGACATGAAAAACACCAACAAAAGAACCCCAGGTGCAATCCCAAATGAATCATACCTGATTTATGCAAGCACCAATAAGAAGTCCACCGTTGCTTCCACCCTCGATACATAACTTTCTGGGTTGCGTATAGCCAGCAGATACAAGGTATTCAGCTGCTGAAATGAAGTCATCAAAGCAATTTTGCTTATTTGCAAGGGAGCCAGCTTTATGCCATTCCTCCCCATATTCTCCACCACCACGAATATTTGCTATGCAGTAAACAGCACCTAAATGTCTTGCGAGTATGTTACGACTGATGCTGAAATTTGGTGTGATACTGACGTTAAAACCACCATATCCATATAACAGACACGGGTGTGAACCATCCAAAGCAATATCCTTTTTGGCAACAATGAACATTGGAATCTTGGTACCATCTTTACCGGGCACAAAAACCTGAAATGTTCAAGTTACATTAAAGAATAGAAAAAACAGATAAAACAACATCACAGATTCTAAGAGACAGCAACAGCCATACTCAGAGAGTAATGACATTTGATGGAGACAAACTAATAATGTGAACTGCGAACTTTATAACAGGATAACAACTTATCAGCATTACTTTTACCTGATTGACATGAAACTCAGAGCGATCAAACCCAGAGATGACAATCTCGCGAAATATCTTCAAATCAGGTATTTGTGTTCCCAGGTCGCACTGATATATGATTCCAGGTGTCAAAAAGCTTGTAAAACTAATGAAGGCCACGTTATCTTCACGCCGTGCAGATATTTCACTGACTGTGCCAATGTCAATTGGTAACTGATGCTGCAAGGAACCTGTCTCCAAGTCTCTTACTTGCAGAACATGTTTCACATCACTCAAGTAGCTCACAATGAGCTGGTTACCATTTACAGCACGTGCTGACTGGAGTACATCCTTTTCAGACTCTTGGATAACATCAGTCCAGACATTTGGCTCTTTCAAATCTACTCGGGCTATTTTATACTTTGGAGCATCTTTATTCGTTAAAAATGTAAACACGGTGTCATCATTTGCAATGGCCTCATATAGTCCTTCAAATTTATCAACAAGCTTGACAAATGGGAGGAGGGAATTTTCATTCCTAAAACCTTCCAGTCCGTTTGGTAGTTCAGACAAGTCACAGTAGTAAAGCTTGTTAACTGGATCACACCCTTCTCCAATATAGAGAAGAACATACTGCACAATCAACAAAAAAACAGTCTGAATTTTAGGGAATTTGAAATTATGTATAAAACAATTTGCATGCTTTTTTATAATAATGCCCCTCGACAAAGCAGAATCCAGTTATGCCCAGCCTACTACCTCGTCTGACTTGCAACGCTATGGATTTAAGATAGTTCCTAAAAATTGCAAGAAAGAAAAAGGATCTAAAGTTCATCTCTAATGCTTTAATGAAAATTTTCCAATGGCAGTAGATACTAACGTGAATTACATACAGTGAGTTGCTTAATTAGCCAAAATTTACCACAGTAATATGATACATTTATATATGTGTGTGTTTTATTTGGTGGTTGTGGGGAGGGGGGAGGCGCTATTGCTAAGGCATAAACAGTGAAGAATCATCAATTATATTGATATCATTAAAGCCTCAGAAAGAGCATCAGCAATTCAGCATAACATCGGTAGCAAATTTTTTCATCTTTTGTACACATAAAAAAGAATATATAGATAATATTCCATAATTCCAAAGCAATGACAAAAAGATACCTTGCCGTCCTCAGTAACACTTGCTTCAAACATATATTTAGGATTCTCAAGGTCTCTCCAACACATAATATCTTCCGATTGAGAAGTACCCAAAGAATGATAATAGAGCTCATGATAAAGGTTTGCATTAGTCTCCGTGCCGGCATCTACTACTGCCCCATCCCTACTCGGCAAAGCAAAGTAACGAATTCAACTTCTCACTCAAGCAAGGACATAAACTAATAGCTCTACTAACTAACTCCTACATAATTAATGAAAAACATGTACAAAATGATTACATCAAACCATTTATATAAGCAACAAAAACTAATAACTCTACTAATTAACTCCTATAAAATTATATCTCTAATAAGTAAATACCAGTGATTAAGTACACATAAATAACGCCAAATATCAATTGCAAATCAAACATCAATTTGAAGAGAATAGAGAGGACATACTTAGGTATTGGATAGCGGCTGTAGAAGAAACCTTTGCTATCATGCGTCCAACTAATATTGGAAAACTTGACCTGATACACAACATTAGGCATCATATATACTGTCAACACTGCTTTCCATATGCATTATCAAAGTCTACATTAAATGTAAATTAATATTACTAAAGTAAAACTCGAATTCTGATTAGAGAATATCGCCAACAGATTGACACCAAAACTAAATTATGTCCTATTCCGACTCCAATCCCATTAAGTTAAGACATTGAACATTCATTAATCCATTCATTCGCTGAATCTGATATTGATGCTAATTACTAAGTTACTAACCCAATATAAAGTATCAGTCTCAACAGCGTTGTCGTGAACACGCATCAAGTTTATAGTGACCCAGTCGCTGCCGCTGGAGCTAAGACCATAAGCCAAGAACTTAGCATCTTTGCTCACAGAGAAGGTGTTGAGCGAAACGGTGCCGTCTTCGCTGAGCGCATTGGGATCGAGCAAAACCCGAGGCTGAGCCTCCAAAGCGTCCTGCACGTAGAGCACGCTCTGCGCCTGAAGCCCCGTGTTGTGGAAGTAAAAGTACTTATCGCCGCGTCGGAAAGGAGCGTTGTAACGCGGATTATCAAAGAGCTCCGTCATCTTCTCCGCGAGCTTCCCCCTGCACTCGCACTTCCGCAGCACCGACTCCGTCAACGCCACCTGCTTCTGCACGAACTCCTTCACTTCCTCCGCCTCGGGATCCTCGAGCCTAGCAAAATAGAATTAAATTATTTATTTTATCGTACTTGTCTAATCAGATATTTTATGAAAATTATTAAACAAAACAAATACATTTTAGATGAAATATTGTCCGTTAAGTTAACAAAACCAAACACTCGTAACACGTGACATCGGAGTTAGTCGTTAGTTGTAACTAAAATGAAACGACGGCGTACCAGCGGTAGGGGTCGGGGACGGTGACGCCGTGGTAGTTGTCGACGACGGAGTGGTCTCTGCGAGCGGTGGGATATTGGAGAGGTTGGTGGAGAGCGGAGAGAGAAGGCATTGTGTTGGCGAATGAAGAATGAGATTTGAATAACGTTGTGAGAGTCAAAGGATGGAAGCGAGTGACATTTAAGAGACGAGGATTTAGAATGTGGCGACTATATGACAACATCGTTGCGATATGCCACTTTTATAGGTTGTTTGCCTTTCAAATTCTGCTCCTCGTTGGAGGGAAGGGAATCATGTCGCCATTTTCACCATAAAATACGCCTTCGTGTTCTTCTCCCTCGCCATTCTCCACCCAAAAACAAACCATAATCTTTAGATTCACCTTCTTTTAAGCTGCACCATCCCCTAATCAATTTCCTAAATTTCCTACATAAAACAACAACTATCTACGCTATCACTTAAAATGAAAACACTTCATATATTATTTAAATATTTTTTTATTGCTATTTTTTTTTTATCCATGTACATGCTTGTAACCGATAATTAAAGGCTAAGGGTAATTATATTAAATTAAATATTTGTGGATGTTAAAATTATTTAAAGAAAAAACTAAATTGCTGATATCATCCATCAAGTAAGAAAAAAAAATCTATATCGTAGTGAGATTGGTTCTTCCAACTTCTATTAGATTTTTTTTTCGTTTACAACACTCGAGCTTTGTTGAAGAAAAATTAAACATGCATCTCCTGAATTCCATCTGATTAAATTATTTGAAATAATTTAACATTAATAAATAAATTATTAAATAAATTCACACTAATATTAAATTTTAGTAAGATAAAATTGTAAAACCATTTTAAATTTAATAAAACACAATTGTGGGTTACTTTTTAATTAATAATAATTAATTACGTGTTACTTCAGTCGCAAGTTCACGAAATCCTATGGGCACCATGGAATAGGAATTAGGTACTGGATGTCGCCATTTTGTGTATATCAAGGAAATTAGACACTGACAGGGGACTGCCTGCACCCCACGGTTCCCACTCATTAAATTTCTGCTGACTATAGATTTAGAAACTTTAGATAATAGAATTAATATTTAAAAAATTTATATATAATTTAAAAATATATATATA